AAGCTATCTACNTGGGCACTGCTGGAATTGACTGATGCATAAGTGTTATTACACTTACAGCACATTAAGAAAACTACGCCGCTTGCGTCACAGAAGAGGCCTCTCAAATGGCTTAGAATGATCGATGAAGGTTCGTTTTTTTAGCTCTGAGGGAAACTTGCGGCATTCCTTCAATTGATCATAAGTAAGAACCATTCAAAATTTGTCCGCGATGAAGTTTGCCTGGTTGAAAGACGCAATGCAAAAATTATCTCGAATTGTAAGCCACTAATCTCTTTTACCCTCTGACTCAGTCAACAACCGAGATTTGCTAAACGAGATTCATTTGAGAGAGATAAGGCAGATAAAGAAGTAACATTGGTTCGTGAACGAGTGGTGGACGTTTCAGCGGGAACGACAATCCTGTGGCTGTTGGACTGCTGACAGTCTGATTTTCTCTCGACATGAGGCGGGAATAACACCAGACATTTCAGACTAGCAGGAATAGATCCTTTTACAGTTGTCTGCTCGGTGATCTGGTCTTTGAATAGCAGCGACGCTGGAGGTGACCTTGCTTTGATACAGACCTCTCTGCTTTTGTCATGTAAATGAACCTAGTCACCATTAGAACAACTTGATTTACACAACAAAAGCAGTAAGGTCTGTATTAAAACAAGGTCACCTCCAACTTCGTTGCTATTCAAAGGCCAGATCACGGAGCAGACAACTGTAAAATGGTCTACTGAGAATTTTTCTCGTCTCGCCCCAGTCCTTTTTTCGTCCACACCGCACTTTTGTTAACTGAAAGAAAATAGCTGATATCAAGTAATAACTACTTATAAACCGAGAAAGAGGTCTTTACGGGAAAATCGCAAACCGAGAAACAAGCCGAGGTTCGAGATTTTCCTGTAAAGACCGAACGCTCGAGGTTGATGAGTTGTTGCGTTCATATAGTGTAACGCAATCATAACACAGTCTGTATCGACATTTTTTGCCCCCCTCCCCCACTCCACAGCAGGGCAAATTACATCGTGAGCGCAAGCACGCAGTTAGGTATTAGAAGAAAGTGAGTATGACTTCTGCAAAGCTGCATGTATTTTGACCCGCCAGCCTTCGACAACAAGTAACTAAAGCCTGCGTCATCAGGAAGGGATGTTTTGTAGCTCGCCGACGGCAAATGGCCATGAGTTGTGGTAAGAAAACAAATCGTCCGTGTAGCTCGGCAACTGGCCCTTGATGACCCTCAGATCTGTGGTCAGAAAATAAATTTTCCGATTTGTAGCTCGGCAAATTCATTGCTTCTCAGAAAACAAACTTTCCGTGTTGTGTAACTCGCTGAAAGGCCGTGTTTTGTAGTCAGAATGGTTAATTCACTGTTTTCATTTGTGAAACCGAACAAGATGTAAATTCGAGCAATGTAAACAAATATGAACACAAAATTTAAAAACATTTGGCGACGTGCTGTCTTGCAGGGTCGCTGGTCAAAAACTTTACCGTCTCAAGAAATATTTGTTACAAGTGTTGGTGATCTGAAATTGAGTTCTGAGTGTCGCCAACAGTTCAAATGCCCTTCCTAGAAAGTATTTTCTCCAGCACAAGTTAATTTACCGCAGGCGATAATCTATTCATGCTAGGTCAACTTCACGTGCAGATCGTTATTCTAGCCTGCGTGGCAGGCCGTAGAAGGGGAGGGAAAGAGACACCTGCCACGTAGGCTAATCGTTATCTGACATTCGATCAAACTTATGGCCCGTACGCACTAGGTGAATTCTTGTTTATTTTGCAAAAATATTTGTCATCAGTTCCGTTATACAAGTGCGAACGACACTTTTCGTCCTACCAAAATTTTGTCAAGCCGTACCAAACTACAAAGGCGCCAGAGTCCTATCACGGAGAAGGACAAATTTTTGTCAAGCGTCAAAATTGTCAGATTCTACAGCCTGCAGGCGTTAATCTGACTTAAAATGTCAATCAAGTAAATTTGATCTCGCTTTTTAGAGTCCACAAATTCATTGTGATTGACACTTATTTTAGTTTTAATATTTTATTGTTTTCAAATACGTACTCGATTACCAAATTCAAAGTTTGATGGAGACAAAATTTGTCGACATTTGTGGCAGAGCCAAACAAATCTTATCAACCTAGTGCGTAGGGTACCTTTCGAACGCCACCAAAGTAGATCGAACATGCACGGGCGCGTGAACGCACTGCTCTAATCTTTGATTGCTAAGCTAGTTTATTATATGGCTTTTCGCTTTGTTTTTGCAGACCCGTAATCGGCCCGTGGGCACTGCAGGAGAATAATCCCGTAGAATTTGCCAATCAGAGCGCGCGTTATATCGGCTACAAACACAAGCCATATAATAAAGTTGGATTAATGATTGGCAGAACGCGGTAATAAAGAGATCTTTACTTTCGCAATCACGATTTCAGTGCTATTATACTAAGAGCTCTTTCAAAGATTTTCAGCATTAAGAAACCTTGGTAGCCAGCTCTCCACAGGGGCCTCTCCAATGATTGATCGATGAAGTTTCTCTATATTAGCTCTGAAGGAAGCTCGAGATTTCTATCGCGTAATAGTTGACGAGGGCTCAGCCCGAGTCAACTATCACGCGTAGAAATCGAGAGCGAATAATCTAATTGTTTTAGTATAAATCTACTAGTCGTTCAAAACTTTATCTAAATCCTCTTCACGATCTCTTCACAGACGCTTCGAAAAACCCAAGAAGTGGCCGTCATTTCTTTAACAAGGGTACACTGCTACGCTACTCACTATCTATCACAGAATAGATGGTGAGTAGCGTAGTCAATCAGAGGACGGCATTCGTGATAGAACGCTAGTAGATTTATACTAAAACGAGATAGTTGTCTGACTGAAGTCTACAGTAGTTACTCTTCAGAAAGTTGTTGGATGACATTGCTGTGATTTTGTAGCAGTCATACGAAAAATTAGCCTCCGTGGTTAACGTTCTCCGAAATACGCGGAACTTTGTCATTTCACGTTGTTGTTTTGCAGACGATGGCCACGAAAAGTGCAAAGGTTATAACACACGTGTTCAATTGGCCATTATTCTCAGTTCTCATTAAACCTTTTCCTTGGTGATGTTCTCGTTTCCTTTGCCGTCGTGGTTTCCTTAAGCTTAAATGTTTTTGTTTGTTAGTTAATGTTACTTGCAGTCGAATATATCAAGCTTATAAAGCTGTTTCTCGTTCCGTAACAATGTACATCTGTAGGCTATTATTTCTTGCAATGTTTGGTACGGAACCTTCATTTCTCGCACTTTTCCCCTTCCTTAAAAAAGAAAAATGATTAGAACCAGCGTTGTTGTATTCAGCCTGCTTTTCTTTCTCGTCTTGGTCACCGGAATCATCTGACACATTGAGAAACCTAAGCAGCTTGTTTTCCCAAAGAGGTCTTTCTAATGAATTGGAATAATCGATGAAGGTTCTTTTTCGAAGCGCTCGAGGAAGTTTACGGCAATCTTCTTTGTCGATTCTTATCATAATAAGAGAGTCGTCTTTTCTGTTTAGAAGTCGATACTTCGCGATGTTAAGCTCGTAACTACAATAGTTACTCTTTAAAAAATTGCTTGATAACACTGCTATGATTTTGTAGCTGTTGTACACACTTTCCGCCATACTCTCCGTGAAAGGTTTTCCTGGTACAAAATCTCTGTAGTGTAGGCAGCACTTTAGATGATGCCTCTCTTCAAGTAAAGGAAGGAGCTTATCATTCACCCAATGGGAATCCTCTTGACTGTATATTATGAAAGCGTGGTAATTAAATTCTGTTTTTAAAGAAAAGAATATTGAATATTGACCGACTGTCCATGCAGTTTCATTTGATGGGTTACCAAAATGATAACCACAGAAACAGAAGCAACAAAAACAACAACAACAACAGTTTATTTCATGCTAGCCCGCTTTCTATCAATTTCAATACTATGCGGGACGTTAAATTAACAAATCTCCTTCCGTGCAAGATCGATTTTCGAACAAGTTAAGCTCCAAGGTTAAGTGTATGGCAGAATTCTTGTTCAAAGTAAGCTCCGCGGTCAGGCAAGACGGTTCAAAGTCGTACGACACAAACTCGGCTGAATACAGAATTCTACCGTCCCGCCCGATCGAACTCCTACATATCGAAATTCAGAATTCATTAGAAAAGAATATGTTATTTTACCACAATTGCCACTAATCTCGCAATCTGATTGGCTAATTTCCCGTTACTGATAAGAGTCCAGACAATGTTGCTCGGGTCAATGTGTCACGCAATGCCTTTTTCAGCTCGCACTCTGAAAAAAACATTTTTGACGTTGACATTGTGGTAAGAAACTGCGCCTCGTGAGTCCACAACATTTTGACCACTGTGATGACGCGTATCGTTGTCAATAAGAGTACAGACAACGCTAAACCACATTCGATTTGTTAAATCTACGTTTTTGGCGACTACCGGAACCTCTGTTTTCTCTAACTGGCAGTTTTAACCATATCGTCTTTCACTGTGATTGGAGAATTTTTCATGAATATTTTTTATTGTTCACAGTTAATCGGGCTCGTCTGAAAATAGTACAGCTCAAAGAATCACTGTATTAGGAAATATGTGATAAATATTAAATTGAAAATTAAACTGTTACAGATCATGAACATAAACAATTTACTTACCTGGAGGTGAAGAATTCCTGAAGCGTTTTCTCGACAACAGAAAGTACTTAAGTAGGCCAAGCAAAATACTTATTGTTAGTAGAAGTCCAACTGACACGGACACATAAACAGTAATACGGTTGGGACCTGGATAAACGAAAACAACTTCGTTACAAAAATACACGTTATGCTGTTTGAATTGATGCAAACCGTGGTGTTAAAAAGTTTTCTTTCCTTTTCTCGATTAGCGAGGAGATGATGTACGAATAATGTGCATGAAATAAATCTGATATTTGTACTGAACTGGAAATAGCGATGTGGAATGAGATCTTTGCAGTTGTATTTGAATTTAGGGAGTTAAAACGAAAACCTGAAAAAATTTCAGGCCAAGGCTTTCACATTTTAAAAATGATTTGTTTCACGAAATCTTCATTTCGTCAAATTTATCACTCCACTTGTTTTATAGCTCACTGACAACAACAACAACAACAACAACAACAACAACAACAAAAAGATAGCGTAGAGCGTCTGTATCCAAATCGCCGGAATTCATTCTCAGGATTCTTTTCAACTCTTAAAAAGTGCCATAAACCGTCAAGTTCTCATTCTCTTTTCTATATTGCACCGTACGTGACATAGTTACTCAGCCCGAAGTGTTTGTGTCGGAAACGGATTAATTTTTGACCTTTCTGCAAATTGTCTATATTGGCTGCCTCGCACTGAAGCTGAGCAAGAATACGAGGAATGTACTCCTATAATTCCTCTTAATTGTTTAAATATAATTCTTTTTAGAGAAAGGAAATAAAAAAAAAAGTGATAAAGTCACTGCAAAGCGCCAATATATCAATTACACAGTTATGTAGTTGTGTAGTGTTTGATCATTTATTTGGCCAATTTGATCATACAGCGCCGTCTACTTACCTTTGTTAGGTTTACAAGTAAATTAAGAATGGGATACTCACTTGAGTTAGCTTCTGCAGCTGGAAAGAAACCTAACGAGGGAAATAATTGCAGAATTGATATCACACACTCAGCCTGAGCTAACTTTGGCGCCATTAGGCAAACGAAACAGGGGGAAACTCAAAGGTACACGGAGCAGAACGGTGGAAAAGGGTTTGGAAGCGAGGCCACACAGTTAACGAGAGAGAGGCCAAAGTGCAAAAAACGTAGACATTACGCCTGCCCCATCTACCGCTTTGGGCTTACAGGATGGATGGGTGGATGGATGGAAGGATGGATGAATAAATGAATGGATGGATGGATGATGTGATGATGATGACGACGACGACGACGACGACGATGATCACACCCACCAAATTAAGATTTTTTAGTTATCCACGACAAATACGGAACTAGGGTGATCATTATAATGCATCAATCTTGTCTAATTAATTACGTCCAAATGATTAGTTTGGTCCAGAAGAAGAAGTCGCCCAAAACACAACTCAACCGTCGATAAGAAAACCAAGTAATGTCTCTTGTAGTTTTGCTTTATCAGCAGTCTGGCTGCAGAATGATAGCAGTCGTGCTTAAGTTTTGGCCGCGATATTTTCTGTCAATGGACATGAACTGGACTGAAAGCGCCTGAGGACGAGTGAAACTGTGTTATATCCATAAATTATACCTTCACAACTTGCGTCGTTGCATTTTGCTGTCTGGTTGTTATTTCTCAAGTCTGGGCAGTCCTCTCCACTGTTGCAATCTTCTCGATGGGGGCAGGCCTCTCCACTGTTGCATTCTGCTGTTTGGTTTTCTCTTCCAAAGTCAGAGCAGTCATTACCATACAAACCAGGGGGAGGATTTGTACAAGAACGGTTCCTTGCACGGTGTCCAATCCCACAAGTTACAGAACATTGGGTCCAAGTACTCCAGTCAGAGTAGCCACCATTTGTAGCCAGAACTGAGAAAGCAAACGATTAATTAACAATTAGTATAGATTGATCACGTTATGTTTTGTTAACTCAGTTTTCAAGGCTTCTGCAGCCTCATTTCCACTCAGAACAAAGGGGATTAACAATGAGTATTGAACGTTTACGCTAGTTTTGATAATTATTTGCCTGAAAGCGACTTTATTAGATAGATCTTGGTGATTTCTTTTTTAACTTATATATGCTTGTCTGTTGAACCGAGAACTCCTTCCAGTTTTTAACGTATGGCCTTCCAAGGTAAGTGCAACATTTGTTCCATTATAGGACAACAACAACAACAGCAACAACAAAAACTTTTATTTCACCCCAGAGTCAGAACTTACAATGTTTTGCTAGAGTAAAAACAAAAATGATAGGGGTGTTGGCTACCCGAAATAAAGTGAGAGTTTAAAATTCCAGGCAGCCAGTTAAAAGAAATGATATTTTACATGTTTTGGTCACGAACACAAACAAACAAACAGACACGCTCCCACACAAAATAATAGAAATAAACAAAGTTAAGCTAATTCCCAGTAGACTAAAGTTCTTACATTGCAAAACAGTATTTATACCCAGAAAGAGCGATGTACAGATATCTTATGATTTTTGCTAAAGAGGCATTTCATTTTCTTCTTAAACAAAGACAGCGAAGATGATTTCATATCTTCATCCATGGAATTCCATACTGATGGTCCTTGAAATCTTATATTAAATATTCAGTAATTTGTTCTTGCTTTTGGAAGATGACACTACTTTCCAGACATTTTAGCATCATTACTTTTTTTCTAAAGCAACAAACTTTCCATAGATTTTATCTTGTTGTTTAGCGCGTTCTACTTTTGATAACTCCGTAAATGGTAGTGAGATTAAAACCCTCGGCAAAAAGTAGTAAAAGACAACAAACTTTTAAGAGAAGAATTCTTACTTGCTAGGCATCCATAGAACTCAACCCTCAAGGCTATATGTATGTGCCAAGACTCGGGAATAACTCTTATATAGCGGGCTTGAATTGGTGGGATTAACTCATGACTGACAAGTTCGTTTCCATTTGTGTTTCCTGAGAATGTCTGAATAAAAACGATAGCCACGTTTGTTAAAATAAGTTGAAAAAAAGATCTGAACAAATCCATGCTCAGCTCAACTAAACTCAATCGAAGTCACTATAGCAAAGCAAGAAATGATCAAAGAACCTGGTTAGTTTTTTATATTTACCTTGTTGCGATAGTTTTGTTGATACTGTTTGAAGCTTGAACAATTATTACTGTGTTGCAGGGAGTAACTCTTGACCCAGAAATCGTCAAAGTAAGACCCCTGTGTCGAAATACCCATAATTCGTGTCTCAGCACCAAAGTCGACCTGAAGCCATGAGTTTTGGTCGTGCGCTTCTGGCATCCACGCGCCTGTTTGCCAGGGTGCCCCTTTATAGTGAAGTCTGGCATTAACAGGGGACAACCCAATGAACCACGAGGAGCTCGAGGAGGCTGTTATAGAGTCATTTGATATTCGGCTGCTTTCCATTCCCAAAGGTTTTCTACAACCGGAGATCTTGGGAACTGGAAAACCTGCGGAGAGTTAATTAACTGCTAATAGAGCAAAGAGTACTGGCCACTACCAATAACTGAGCTAGGGATTGATTGATGATTGATTAAAACTCCGTTATTACCTGTGACAGAAAAGGTTTTGCAGATATAAAAGATGTCTCGAACTGTTTAATTTCAAGGGTGTGAGGCTTTTGATTTATAGCTAGCTTTTGTTTTGTAAATTTGGAGTTGAAAACCCTTTCTCCTTCTGCAAAGTACCCTACCTATTCCTGTCTAAATAAATGAAAACCGAAAACGCTCTGAAGGTTCATTGAGCGGTAAACATAAATCTTACTTTGGAGCCAACGACTACTATACTTACCAGATCTACAGCCATAAAACTCAGCTCTCAAGGAAATCAAGTTGTGGTAGTCTATTGGAATGATTCGGATGTAGCGGGCAATGATGGGATGCTTCAGCTTGTGATTTACCACTGTGTTTTGATCTGTGTTTCCATCAAAAATCTTGGAAAAGACGATAGAGAGGCCTTGTAGTTTTTAAACTAAAATATAAAACTACGTTATGGTCATCGGACTTTAAGGTACTATGAAGCTAACCATTAAGCTCGAAGTTAAGGGGAACAACTTACCATTCATTTTTGGCACCGTCAAACTAGACTACTGCAGGAAAACATCTTTTCCGACATCTCCCTTCACATCAATTAACAGCTACTTCTCTATTGTTTATCAGTCGTAATTTGCGGGGATATTTGTCGTCTCACTTCTTCTTTTGCGTTTTTAACTAAATTTATCAAACGTTTAACTATATTATACTATGTTAGTAGCATTTCGGGCTTTGCAGCAAGTGACAATCAGATTACGTGCTTGAGTTGCCATTGGCACATGCATGCTTCCATGGATGTAAAGTAGCTTTGGTGAAAACTGAAGTGATCAAACCCATACGTGATATCATAAAATAAAATATCTTTAAAAACAAAAATAAAAATGAAAAGAGTTTTCCTGCAATAAAATATGCCTTTTCGTATATGGAAATACAGTTACACGTTACTTCGCCGCTACCTGGAAAAAAATTAACTCACAATTCGGATTTACTCCCAATTCAGACCGGGAGCCAATTACGTTATCTGATGGTGTTTCAAATCATTCTGACGTACGAAAGCCGAGTAAACGTAAATGTATAACCGTGTCGTGTGACAATACTAATCCATGAAGCCAAATTCCTGATGTTCAGACCTTACTATAAGCCATTTCAATCAGAACAGTAAATGTTACACCATACATGTCGTACCTTTGCAACTTCTCCATTCTCTTTATAATCCATGAAAAATATCCCGTCGTAACTGTAGGACACGCCGTATTTTGTTACCCAGTTGAAAAAGAAACCTTGTCTGCCCTGAGTTGAAATTGCTGTCACCTTAGTCCAATGTCCAAAATCCACTTGAAACCAGCTGTTCTCTTCTTTGTTCGGTTCTGCTATCCATCCGCCATCATTTTCTCCAGGAGTTGAAATCAAATGAAGCCGTCCATTACCTGCCTTAGCAAACGCCCAAAGCATGCTGGAGGCCGTCACTGAGGAGTCTGGGATAGCATAACTTTGCATTCCTAAGTCTTTTTCACAATATGGTTGCGGTGTGGGGCTAGGAAAACCTAACAAATGGAAATATTTATCTAGTTGGCTAAGTATAGCTACAAGTCTGATGAGCGACTATTTTTCCACGTTACAATTAGTAAGGCTGGGAACTTTTAGAGCTCGCAATAGACTTGATTATAGGTGCCGCAGGTCGATATAGATTTGAAAAACACTGATCACAACGTAGTAGAAGTAGTATAACTCTCTTCACATTTTGACTCAAGCGTTGCACCGAAAAAATCAGTTCCATAAACATATATCGAAAATGGCATGGTATGTTAGACACAGTAATATCATTTCGTAGTTGATCATTTATTTATGTATTATGATACAAAGAGATCACAGTATTTGCAAAGAAAATGAGAGAATCGACTACTTACCTAACTCGTTCTCAGTAGATGAAGAAGAACCTAGGAAGTTATTGGAGAGATTTTACCACATGCGTACAATGAAAGTATCGAATGCATCTCCGGTAAATACGACATATATAATTACGAGGAACATATCGATGCTTTCCCAAAAGACGCCCAAATTAATAATCATCTCTGCTCTAAATCAAATTAGAATTATAAACCATCCAATCTTGGGGTAGGTTTTCTTTTCCTAACGAAAAGCCTAGCAAAAGCTGGGTCAAAGCTATATTCTTAATGAATTTGTTTTTACTTTTAATGTGCTCTGATACAAGGAGCAAGATAAAGCGCGGCACACAGAGGCGGATCCAGAAAATGCAAATAGAAGGGCAGAAGAAATTGCGGCAGAGCGCAACCCGCAACCCCACCCCCCTCCCTCCCACCCCACTTACCTTCCCCAAACCGACTGAAAAATTCCGCTGTAAAGACGGCTGATCAAGTTTTTCGAAAATACAAGAAAAAGAGAGGGGTAGGCGGCTCCCCCTTCTTTAAATGCGCCCCTGGCACATACTTTTGATAATCCCGGTTATATTCTCACAATGGATTAAAACAACAAAAGCAAAAGATCGATGTTAGCACAAGTCTAGTCGGTTAAAGAGGGAGATTTCTCACTTGCAAGGCAGCCATAGAACTCCAGCCGCAAAGCTATATAGTAGTGCCAAGACTCAGGAATAACTCTGATGTACGGTGCTTGTATTGGTGGGACGAGCTCATGACTGACAACGCTGTTTCTGTCCTTGTTCCCTGAAAAAGTCTGAATGAGGTAAACCCAGTCAGAGGCTAAAAGAAATAAGTTTCTCGAGCAATCGATTCATTCCAGCTCAGTAAATTAAAAAATATCAGTATGAAATGAATAAACAGCTATTAGGATGGTTCACAGAGGAGCACAGCCCCGCCCCCCCCCTCCCCCCCAAACGAGGTAAACAATCAAATTAGAAAATCTAGGCATAAGGAGCCCATAAATTGTTTTTCAATATTCATCGTTGCCACATGTCAGAGAAAAAATTTCTTCAAAGTCAGGGAAAATTCAGGGAATTTTAATTGAGTCAGAGAAAATTGACATTTTGAAGAAAAGTCATGGAAAATTGATAATTTAACACAGCTGATTTAATACCATTGAAGGCTGGAAGAGACATTTGTGGTCACTGTGATTTCAACGATATTTTCCTTAATGAAGAAGGAAATGAAGATTTATTAGTCTTATTGGAAAGGACTGCTGTAGCTAGATTTGACATTTTGTATTCAGTTGGTCAGGGAAATCATATTTTTATCAGGGAAAAGTCAGGAAATTTTTGGAAGGTAATGACAAACAATAGACTGCAAGGCTGATACTACGAGAAAGACGTTTCGAGAGACCAAGGAGGATCGCAACAGTGGACAGCTGTTTCGTCCTTATTGGGACTCATCAGCACTGTGTAGCGGAAATATGTAACGCCAGCCCAACAGCCAACGCACATAAATTTCAAAATGACCCGTTCACTAGATCAAGCTCCGTACTTTGAACTCACTTGTGCCCCGAAACACGCGCTGCCACATCACATGTTTCGGGGCCGCAAGGAGACAAAGTGTCACGATTGGTGTCTCGAAAAGCAAAAATTAAACGTGGCTGGACAAGTCCAGCCTAAATAATGCCTGTGACAAGGCCAACTGATGCCTGTGGCAATCATGATAGTTACCTTGGTGTATAACTCTGGCTGATAATGTTCAAAGTTTGAGCCATCATCACTGTATCTCAGTGTGTAACTCTCAACCCAAGTATCAAAGTTATAATGTCCCTGGGTAGAAATGCCCGTAACTCGTGTCTCAGCTCCAAAGTCAACCTGCAGCCACTGGTTCTGTTCAATGTCTAGTGGGCTCCATGCCCCTTTAAAGTTAAGTCTGGCATTTTCAGGTCCAGCGTTTTCATTTTCTTGGGAAGAGGCTGTTATGGACCCATTCAATATTCGGCCTTTTTCCAATCCCAACGGTCTTTTACAATCTGGTATCTGAGGAGCTGAAAATCCCACGGAGGTGCAAGTAAAACAAAACAAAAGGAAAAAGAAAAGAAACAAAAAAGTAAAAATTATAAAGGAATGAACTAGCCATAGAAATATATATATTTCCGGGTGAAAGTGATGATGTGGAAAGGTTTTCGCAATAACATGCAAAGGAAATCAATGACATCACTAACTTGTAAAACCCCATTAACACATAACATGAAAGTAATATAAGGAAAGAATCTCCCTGGCAGAACTGGCGTTTGATTACCATCGTCACGAAAGATTGCCTCATCCTCTTTGATTTTACACCCGCTTTCAGTGTTACGTGCATAGGCCACATCTTTCGACATGCCATCTTTCGACCTGCTATGCAACCGGCTTACTTAAAAAATGTAAGCACAACGGACTTCTTTACGGTCGAACTCGAATTGTAATGATGAAAGATTGATTTATTTAACATCAAATTAAGGTTAGGTGTATCAAGAAGTCATTCTGGCAGAAATAAGTCGACTGCTTTGAGTATTTACACGTTGCGAATATTAAAAGCGGCAGCGGCCCAATTCTACCGGAAGTCACTATTGAGAACCGATCGACTACACTAAATCGCTTGAGTAATCCCGTAAATAGGGGAGCATGCAAAGTCCAAAATCTTCTTCAGCCATTTGAGGTAGGTAATTATCATTTACTTGCCATTTCCTCCACTAATAACCGGAAAAACTACCAGTTTCACAATTTAACGGTCTTTCATAGCATGTCGAAAGACGGTCGAAAGATGTCGCCTATGCACGTAACACTGAAAGCGGGTGTAAATGTGCTGGTTTTGAACGCCATGCTGGACTTCACAAGAGCATTTGAAATGTAAAGTGAGTTTAAAGTAGGGTAAGTTATCGTGGGGGAAAACCCCGGGGGGAATCCCATATGAAAATGACGAGGGTGCTCGTCGGGAATACTGATAAGAATTCCGAAGAGGTACCAAGATCCTGTTTTGTCGGCGTAGCTTGGAATTGGTACCCTAAGAGGTACCAATTCTAAAGCAACACATTAACTGACACTTCCATAACTTTTAATAGCGACATAGACGATTGTTTCGAATACCTTCTACTCGTAAAGTTCATTGTCGAATATCTCCTTTCATATTTTTTCAGCTCAGTACCCTTAAAGGTACCTCTCCCGCTGTGGACCTTTTGAGACTGACCAGCCTAAGAGATACCGAAACCGCATTTTTAACCGCTAAAAGGTACGACTAACACCTCTTTTTTAGATGGGAGTTCTTCCCCCCCCCTTTCCCCGAGGGAACACGTCTGCATTTACATGTACGAATTAAGCAGTTAAACAGCGTTCCTAATGTTTCCAGAGACTTTAACCAAGAAAAAAACGACTTTTTCGAGTTCGTTTTTTTGGGGGAAAATTTGATCACGAGCATTGTATTCCTTGTCAGAGTATAAAGAGAAGATGTCATGTTGCTGTCAAATGATACAAGGCGCGAGAAAAGAGGACATTTGACGGCAAAAAGGAGCATTTATCTCACTCCTTCGTATTCATGTTTAGCTCAGAAAAGGAAATGTTATTTGTGGTTTCATGATATCCCAAAATATCAGTAAATTTTAATTTTCGGGGTTATTTGGTCATTCAATTATCTGCTTCGTTCAAACCTGGTACTCGTTTACAACGACTATGCTTTCATAAGCCAACGCCACTGTCGCCTAACGTGGGCGATGCTAAGTTGGGAGCTTAAGAAAACCACAACAGTGACGGGAACGTCGCTGAACAAAAAAAAAAAAAAGGTTTAAAGAGCAGAAAAATGGCTGTGCACGTGCGTTATAATTCTTGGTACATTTCTTTGTCGTCCCCTACAAAACACCAACGTGAAATGACCAGATTCTGTGTTTTCTGGAGAACGTGAACCACGGCGGACAATTTTTAACATTTATATTTCGAATTTTACGCTATGTTCTATATCCATTTGCGAGGTAGTTTTGACAAAGAAAGAGAAACGAAATAAATGACTTTAGAGTATCGCGAGACTCGTAGGTAAATATAAACTTCATTGTTTTAATCGACGCTGTCCTCGGCTTCGTGGTCGTGGCTACTTAAACTCCCTAAAAGAAAGTACGTCACTGCAGAGAGCAGAAAGAGTTCAATATCGTAAATGGTCTACACGGGGAAAATATATGAAGCCACGTGGTTAAGCTGTATGATTGGATATACAGAAATGAATGAACAGCCTTTGTTTTATACAACAAAATGAAAGTAACGGAGAGTCAGTAAAAGCGCTGACAAAGAAAAACTGATCGTTCAATGCATAGCGATCGCTCCCATATTCCAGTCCCTTAAAAGCGAACCCACAATATTGATAAAAGAGAAGGCCATTACCACTGCCACCCTATTCTCTAGCTTATAGGATTACGGTATTATGGAACAGCATGATAGCGAGAGATGGCTGAACAGCTCCGATCAAAAACTTTAAGGCCAAGCCGAGGGACTCTGACTCTTTTCTGAATTTTTTAAAGAACGTGTTTGAGCCACATCGGCATCTACAGTACGTTATTTTCATCACGATTTTCTTAATATTTAACTACACTGTTATATAGCAATTAAAGGCTTTTTTTTACGACTATACACGGTATAATTTTTACTCGATCTTTCATTTGCTATTTGCGTAGCTTATACAGAAGTTATTATTTAAATTCTGGTCTTGCAAAAGTTAAATAAAAAATTCGATAGTTTCAACGACGGCCGTTTAATTATGTTTTTTCCTTTCTGCGCTGAAATTGACAGTATGACTAGCATTACATTGTTTCAGTTTTACGCAGATCCCTGAACATGTGTCTTCATTTCTTGTGAATTTTACAAACGTTCTGAGCTAAAAACTACTCTGCTCTACTTACCAGTCCTTACTGAAAGCCGCAGTAGTAAGAATATCCCCAGCACGGCGCCTGTTTTCATCACTACTTTATAGCATCGTGCGAATCAAACAGAGTTTTGTTTGCGTGATGTTTTCTTATTTTAAAACAAAGGGTTTCATGGAGATCTCATCATTTATGAGTTAGGAATTTCTTTAGGGAGCTATGGAAACGTTTGAGAGAAGTCAATAAGAATCATGTAATTATTCGTGTATTCTTGGAGAAAGGTAATTCGCTCTTTCCCGCTGAAAGATAGTGAAATGAAACTAAGGCCTCAAAACTCTATAATGCTCTCAATGGGCTGACTCCGACTGAGTGAGAATTCTATTTAGTGTTAATGTCTCTCGTTCTTTGTTCCTCCTCCTCGCTCAATATTATATAGCATGTATTTACATAAAGGGCAGTAGCAAACATAGCATTGAAAGTCTAAAGAGAGTAGGGAGAGAGGACGCTGATCGATAAAGAAATCTCCTTTATTTTCAAACTAGTTCTACGTAACTAGTGAATTGCCTTTGAATGTCCTCCTACCCCGCCTCCTCCGCCCAAAAAAGAAAATAGTGCCAAGAGTCACAAATTTAGACACATATTTCTTGGCGAGTGCATGGGAAAATTTAAGGTCATCATCCAATACTCCATGTATGAAATAAGAGGGTGGCGATTTAAGGGCACCCGACATCAGGAATGGGGCTGGATGGAAGAAGCAGGTTTTCCTTGATGAACACACACATCGACGCTTAATTGGCCGACAGTCGTCACTCCCTGGGAGATAACATCCTCTTGATGTGTTGCATTGTATTCATGAAATCTTTTATAAATTCGTTTTTTTTTTTGACAACATGTTCTCTCTACATTTGATACTTGATACAACTGTTTGGTCTTGTCTTCAATGGAAATTAGCTGGTGACAGTATAGAATTAGAATAAAATAATTTGTTTGCCTTGTTGGGAATATTGTACCACGCGGCGCAAAATGAATGAAATGTAGAGTCAGGACAAAAAGGAAAAACTGTTCCAATATCACGCCTTACCCGGCCGGCTGCAAAATTATTATCATACTTGCCGATCTTCTTCGTTTTGGCGGTCTCATTATAGTAATACATCATGGCCAATCTCCGCTGCAAATGCAAAGTACAAAATAGAGAATACCAAATAAATCACACTTGGTCTACTACTACTAAGCGCATGGGTTCATCGCAAGAGTTTATAACAGTTCCGATGACAGTAATGGTAACAAAGACAAGTTTAAGCGCTCAGGAGTGAAACTGGTTTCTTTCAACAATTTTATTATTATCAAGACCTACATGTATACAGTAAGCTGGATTATTACATTTGATACCCAAAATTGTTTTCTGCTTCCTCGAAAAAGTGCCAAAGGTCTTTTTGAAACTTTTAATGACTCCTGTATGTTTTCATTTTGAATACGGCAAAAGAACTAGTACTTTATGGGGCTATAGTTTGACCCGAAAAACGTGTTTTTTTTGCTAGCCAAAGTTTTTCAAAAACTTTCTGAACTACGCGTCAGCATTGTCGGTCGGCGTGGGCGTTTGACATTGGCGATAGCATTGGCAGCTTTCCCTTCTTCCTTCCTTTGTTCATGGCAGATTCAAAGAAACGTTTTGCTGGATTAATGACTGACCTGAGACGAAACATTGTAGAGAAATATTTGGTTCTCAATCAGGAAATTGGGCCTCCTATGTAGTGACTTCAACGAAACTGCGCAACGATCTGGCGTGTGAACCAATATTGCAACGGAAGAACTATCGTCTTTATACATGCTGACGTTACCAAAGAAACCGTGCAGCAGTTAGAATCATTTTGCGGAATGTTTATTGTGTTTCTACTGTACTAATGATTCAGGAAGTGAAACCAAAAAAGTATAATTATACAAAAACGTCCGGTGTTTATCAAAGCATACACCTCCTCGCTGAAACCGTTTACCCTGAAGCGGCAGCGAGCAATGAATTTTGTATCCTCTCGATTTATAGATGACTATATATCAAGCTTTTTGACAGATTGTCTCATGGCGTCACATTAAAAATAATCACTAGAATCCTACCTTCCTTCTTCCCTTTTCCTTTTGAGTTACTTTCATGTACAAACCTTTACGAGATGGGAGAGAGCAGGAGTTGCTGGGGTAGTAAACGGTCTTCCTTCAGCTGTAAGCGCAAATAGACGATGTACTGTTTCTGTATAACTGTATAACGTAACAAACTGTTTTCAGTTTTGTTTTTTATGGTGTTTTTCAGTTGCATTGAAAACTATTAATATGAAAAAAAATTATCTCAAGTTGTGCCAGTTCTGAATTTAACTACTGTTTGTTAATGAACACCCTTTTAAAGCTTTTATGAATATTTTTTTGGTATTTTTGTGAAATTTAGTTTCTTCTGCTTTGCTTGCTGCTTCCTGAGTCCCGGAATCACTTTGTGCATTGAAAACTCTAAGCAGTTGATCTTCCAACTGAGACCTTTCCAGGGAATATTATATTAGAATAGTCGATGAAATTTCTGTTTTCTTACTGCTCTCGAGGAAGCTTACAGCTTTCTGCCTCCTTATCGATTATTAGAATAGCAAGATTGTCCGTGATCTTGCCCGTTATGAAGTCGATGATTTATGATTTTGAGCTAGTAGTTACAGTTATCAGTCTTCAAAAAACTGTTTGACATTGCAGCTTTTATTGACAGTTTCCTCCGTGCGCTTTCTAGGAGCTAATCTCCTCTAGGTGGTACTTTATATCTATATTTATTACATGAAAGATGTAAGATCACGAGACCAGATTAGCGCGAAGTTTTCCGATAAGAAAGCATCATAAATTATCATAGACTTCCTGCCTAGAGACCTGAATTGCGAGGGCCTAACAATTCCACTGTCTTACTATTATTATTATCATTATTTTATTCTATTTTTTTTTCTCAGCTTTCCACCCAATGGCCAAGTTGTCTGTGAATCAGAGGTGATATTTCTCACGAATGAGCGATGATTTGATTCTTCGATAAATATAAAGCAAGCTGTGTAAATACTTTACAATGTACAGTAGCTTTCTCTCTGATTGTGATCAATGTACAATTCGCGTGTAACCAAGCACTACTGAAGTAGCGCAGCTTCCGGTCACAGCCCTGCAACCAAGAACAAACGCAAGACACATCCCGTAACTCCCGCAGCCTGGCTTACATGAACATTTTGAGCTTTTCTTGAAACGCGCCGCTGGCCCAAGTTGTAAATCAAATTGTTGAAATGATTGCATTCTCGGCAAACGTGCTCCAAAGCAAAGTAAACACTGATTGTGACATCTAAGACAGTATGATTCATTATCTCTTGAACGCGTCTTCTGAAGCAGCTCCTCAATTCCTCTAGTTAAGTGAGTCGCGAGGCTATACAAAGGACACCGCTGATCCATTGCTGCTTGTACTGTTAAGCCTCACAAATGAATTTCTTATTCTTCTCTCCATACGGGAATACATACGATTATTGGTGTCTCTCTCCTGTCCCGTAACTGCGTCCCGGTTACCGGAATCCTCCGGGACCTGAAGAAACTGGAGAAGTCTGTTCATCCAGAAAGGTCTTTCCACTGTTTTGGAGTAGTCGATTACGCTTCTTCCACGTAATCCTGGAGGAAGGTTATCGAGTTCTGCTTCATCAATTCTTATAATCACGAGGCAATCGTCGCCTTGCGTTACTTGTCGGTACTCGGCAAGATGTAGCTCATGCTGACAATAATTACTTTCCTGAAAATCCTTAGAGTAAACTGCAATAATCTTGAAGCTTTTTTGTACGCTTTCCGCCATGGTTTCAAGAAAAATGCTGCCAGGATCAAAGTCTCTGTAGTGAATGCAGCACTTGAAATGATGCTGTTCCTCGAGGGGACGAAGGAGCTTCTTTTTTACCCATTCGGAATCTTTTGAGCTGAATATTATTAATGCGTGATAATCGAAGCCTAGAGGAGGATAAAAAGATCACAAATGTTTATTGGGTATTTCAGCCAGCTTGATATCAGGTGAATCAAGTTTGCAACTGCTTCAAATATGTTATAATCAATCAAATATTTTAGCTCGCAGATGATTGGTCTAAACGCGTCCATGTGACTGAATATGCCCCATCTAAGAATAGGGAGTATCTTAGTGAAACGCAATAGCCTCCATTTGACTTTAAAAATATGCTCGGACACTATGTCCTTGGACATAATCTGTTCCTTGATGAACACTGTTCGCTTATAGGGGCCCCTTTTCTCGAAAGTTCCAGCAACTGTGTACGCCGGCGCCCGAAGCCATGTTTTAAAAATAGTAGTGTGGGTTTTGGCTCCATTCTGTTTCGTTTCCTGACATATTTATCGTTTGAATTTCAGAACAATTAATCTCTCGATCTTGAATGTAAACAGGGCAAACAAGAAACAGCTTTTCGGGACTTTCGAGAAAGGGGTCCCTGATAACGTTCGCGGACAAATATCGGAACACATTTTCGGATCAAATAGAGGCTATTGTTTAAATATCTAAATACAGACCTGAAGGCACAGGGAAGCGTCCCCTAGATCGCCGTATGTACAGGAACATACATTTCAGGAAACCAAGGACGAGAAGCAGTCCTACCAGGATCCCAGACACAGTCGCAATGAACACATACTTGATGGTGTGGTCGGGACCTGGAGGAAAGGAGGGTGTTTTGCATGGAAAACAGAGTAGTGGCATTGCGATGCAATCTCGTTCATAACATGCGGTGCTTAGAACGTATAATCATATTATTGGGAATTACTCTGAAAAAGGAAACATCGTTTATAATGGAAAACTTCTTTCGCTTTTTTCTATCGATCGAGTTATGTTACCACTATACCACTAGCAATTTACATGAGACGCAGTGAGTCAGTGCTTCCATAGATGGTTCAAGGGCCCCTAAACGTCCACGAACGTTCCAAAACCTCGATAGAAACACAGAGAAAATGTCCTATTTCTTTCAGAGAACATCCCGAGAAACCTGGAGAAGGTAAAATCACTCTTTACTTTGATTATCAAAATGTAAACTCTCCCTTGATTATTATGCCAACATAATTTTTCATGGAGTTCTAGTAACACGGCTTATAATTCGAACAATCTCATAGTGTTTTTCCAATAAAAATTACTTTCAGGTGAGTAATACATCACGAAACTTTGACATTTTTAGATAGTCAGTATACTCACTTGACGTCTTATTCGTGGCTGTGTAGTCACCTACGTCAGCAATATAAAATTGACAAGCAATTAGTTTCATTAAAGCGGTTTCAAGGAAGTTTTATTGAACATTCAATCGGCTATTTAGCAAATGCCACATAATGATAACATTATGGATTATGTCCACTTACTTGTACCAAAGGACGTAGTTGATGGACCTGGGGATGAAGAGCTGGAATCTAAGCCGCCGCTTTCAGAGGCTGAAAAGAAAAACGAAAAAATTGTAATTAGCCTTGAAACGTTTGAAATTCGTCTTTCGCAGATCGTACCTCTACCAGAAAACACTGAACACTTTTGGTCAACTTGCTGACACACTTTGAACACATACAACCACGAGAATTAAAATAGTTTTATTCAATGCGACTCTGCTACCCGTCTAAGTCCATATCTTTTATAATTACATGTACATGCGATGTATTACTTCTCATAAAAGAGAGTAGATGATTGTTTCTTGAGGGCCACATTGTCGTCCATAAAATGTCTGGCAACATCTAAAACAGTATCGACACATATTTTTTGACCCATTGGTATATTGGGATTGGCACTGGTTGATCGAACGTAGCTGAACACCAGTTAATGTCTTCCCAACAGAACAAATTTCGATATAACAGAGATAATGACAATTTAACAGTACAGCCTTAAAAACTTTCAAAGATGATCACTTAGTGCTAATCTCACCTGTGGTTTGACTTAAGGTGGATGAAGTTGGTATGGCTGTGTGGATGAGAACAGGTAAATCTAGTCAGGACACAATAACGCAACAGAGCACGATGTCTAAAACCGCATCGACACATTTTTTGGACCAATTAGTATATTGGGATTGGCACTGGTTGATCGAACGTAGCTGAATACCAGTTAAGGTCTTCCCAACAGAACAAATTTCATTATACCAGAGATAAAAACAATTTAACAGTACAGCCTTTAAAGTAGTGCTTATCTCACCTGTAGTTTGACTTAAGGTGGATGAGGTTGGTTTGCCTGTGTGGATGAGAACAGGGCAATTTAATCAGGACACAATAACGCAACAGAACACGACGTATGTTTGATTTAAGTCAATGCTGAATATTAATCTCACCTGTTGTGCTAGTCAAGGTGGATGAGGTTGGTTTCCCTGTGTGCATGAGAACAGGACAATTTAATCAGGACACAACAACGTGACAGAAGATGATATACATGTAATTCATTGTTTAGATCATCAATGATTGGCAAATTCGCGGGGGTTCAAACTGAGCGAATCAGTGGTCAAATTGTACCACAATTAAAGCAGTGATGAACTGAGAAAATCAAATACTCAGCACTATCAAAGCCTAGCATGTACTATTTAGACAGTGCTCAGTTCGAACTCGTAATGTTGCTGGAAGGAGGGAAGGAGGGAGGGAGGGAGGGAGGGGAAGGAGGGAGGGAGAGAAAGGAAGGAGGGAGGGANACCCTGAAGCGGCAGCGAGCAATGAATTTTGTATCCTCTCGATTTATAGATGACTATATATCAAGCTTTTTGACAGATTGTCTCATGGCGTCACATTAAAAATAATCACTAGAATCCTACCTTCCTTCTTCCCTTTTCCTTTTGAGTTACTTTCATGTACAAACCTTTACGAGATGGGAGAGAGCAGGAGTTGCTGGGGTAGTAAACGGTCTTCCTTCAGCTGTAAGCGCAAATAGACGATGTACTGTTTCTGTATAACTGTATAACGTAACAAACTGTTTTCAGTTTTGTTTTTTATGGTGTTTTTCAGTTGCATTGAAAACTATTAATATGAAAAAAAATTATCTCAAGTTGTGCCAGTTCTGAATTTAACTACTGTTTGTTAATGAACACCCTTTTAAAGCTTTTATGAATATTTTTTTGGTATTTTTGTGAAATTTAGTTTCTTCTGCTTTGCTTGCTGCTTCCTGAGTCCCGGAATCACTTTGTGCATTGAAAACTCTAAGCAGTTGATCTTCCAACTGAGACCTTTCCAGGGAATATTATATTAGAATAGTCGATGAAATTTCTGTTTTCTTACTGCTCTCGAGGAAGCTTACAGCTTTCTGCCTCCTTATCGATTATTAGAATAGCAAGATTGTCCGTGATCTTGCCCGTTATGAAGTCGATGATTTATGATTTTGAGCTAGTAGTTACAGTTATCAGTCTTCAAAAAACTGTTTGACATTGCAGCTTTTATTGACAGTTTCCTCCGTGCGCTTTCTAGGAGCTAATCTCCTCCTTTAGGTGGTACTTCATATCTATATTTATTACATGAAACTGAAAACTACTTCCGGTCGTGATTGGCAAAGAGGAAGCAAAATTATCATCATTTTTGAAAGGAGAAGGTCATTCCAAGAATCTCACTTTTTTGTCTTTGCCTATAGCAAGTAAACATTCAGCTTTCCCACTCACCGAAGTTTCAGCCTCTGAAGTTACAGCCTCTGAAGTACCCGCTATCCTGAAGAAATTCGTCTCGAAAGAAGCGACTTCGAAGGCCGGCATTTTGAAACTGTACATGGCAGCCAAGCCTTGCTAATGTGACGTCATTCCGTCCGACTCGAAACTGGCAGAAAGGAGAAAAATCTGCAACTGACTTTGCATCCTTCACAAGGTCAGCAAATTTTTTTTTCAAGTGATTATCCACTTCACTATCTTCAATACTATCATTTCGGAGATTGGAGCATGTTTGGCTCAAAATAGTATGGCTCAAGAGCAGCCATAACCCAGAGTGGTAGTTAAAAGGCTTATCGGAAGCCATTTAGACAACATCTCTTGGACGGAATGACGTCACGAAAACGCCGCCTGGCTGCTGAATACTGTTCAAAATGGCGGCAACGATGTCGAATTTTGGGCTTCTTTGGAGACGAATTTCGTAAGGAAAACGTGCACTTTAGAGGCTGAAACTTCGATGAGTTACGAAACATAGAGCAAGGTTTTTATTAGGGCTGGCAAAAAATATACTTTTTTGCAGTGACCTTCTCCTTTAATTTGCACTCGTGGGCGCGTCTGTGACGTTTTTCAGTCAATAAGCAAACATATGAAAGCTTCCTACTCGTGATATTTGAAAATTAATTCATATAGCATAAGTTAGCATTTGCCCAAAGGCTCGTGAAACTTTGAGATATGTTCAAATCGCACTCGTAGTGTAAATCGTTAATAGCACTCGTTTCATACGGTTACCTATACTAAAACTACTCGGAGATCTCCCTTATAGGTTCTCTTCTCGTCCAGAAATAAGCCAGTAGTAGCTAAGACCCATCAGTCCGGTAGCAGACAATGTCTTCAGGAAGAATGAACAAAATAAAGATCACTTAAGAAGGAAAGTGTCATCATAGTTCTCTTTTAATGTTTTACATTTTCGAAATGGGGCATTATACAGAAGGCTAAATCATTCAACCATGGTATATTGTTCCCAAAGCTTCACTCGAATGTATTTTGAAGTTTTCAGGTGTGTTGACACTTCCCCATTTAACTAAGTCTGTATTCGCTTTTACAAGAGCATTTTACTCAGTAGAATTAGGAGAAAAGAAATAATTAAGAGAGTAGACTCGGAATATTCTAATTCATCTGGGATATGTATTATGGCTTTGATCTAGCATAAATGGCCGCTATGTACATTGATAAATTATTCGGCAATTAATGAGAATATCATCTAATCTATCGCTTTTAATTTTCCGCGTTATTGAAATTTGATGCCGCGAAAAGAATGGAGCGAAAGTAATGCACAGAAATGAAATGCCGTATGTCTCAGGGAAATGACACACTTTTCTTAATTTTTTCCAGATATATAGATGCATATCAATAAGACAATACTTAATAATTATAGTTTATTTTTCTCCTCACTCTGGCTTCTGGAGCTCTTGATTTGACGGGCCAGTATCCATCAGTCTAATCAATCAAGTTCTTTGTTCTTTGGTTCTGTTCTTTGACTCGCATTTTAATTATGACTTTTTGTCTCTGTAATGTATCCATTCACGAAAACTTTGTGACTTGGCTTCGAAAGCGAACTATCGCTCCTGTAAGATCACGAGACCAGATTAGCGCAAAGTTTTCCGATAAGAAAGCATCATAAATTATCATAGACTTCCTGCCTAGAGACCTGAATTGCGAGGGCCTAACAATTCCACTGTCTTACTATTATTATTATCATTATTTTATTCTATTTTTTTTTCTCAGCTTTCCACCCAATGGCCAAGTTGTCTGTGAATCAGAGGTGATATTTCTCACGAATGAGCGATGATTTGATTCTTCGATAAATATAAAGCAAGCTGTGTAAATACTTTACAATGTACAGTAGCTTTCTCTCTGATTGTGATCAATGTACAATTCGCGTGTAACCAAGCACTACTGAAGTAGCGCAGCTTCCGGTCACAGCCCTGCAACCAAGAACAAACGCAAGACACATCCCGTAACTTCCGCAGCCTGGCTTACATGAACATTTTGAGCTTTTCTTGAAACGCGCCGCTGGCCCAAGTTGTAAATCAAATTGTTGAAATGGTTGCATTCTCGGCAAACGTGCTCCAAAGCAAAGTAAACACTGATTGTGACATCTAAGACAGTATGATTCATTATCTCTTGAACGCGTCTTCTGAAGCAGCTCCTCAATTCCTCTAGTTAAGTGAGTCGCGAGGCTATACAAAGGACACCGCTGATCCATTGCTGCTTGTACTGTTAAGCCTCACAAATGAATTTCTTATTCTTCTCTCCATACGGGAATACATACGATTATTGGTGTCTCTCTCCTGTCCCGTAACTGCGTCCCGGTTACCGGAATCCTCCGGGACCTGAAGAAACTGGAGAAGTCTGTTCATCCAGAAAGGTCTTTCCACTGTTTTGGAGTAGTCGATTACGCTTCTTCCACGTAATCCTGGAGGAAGGTTATCGAGTTCTGCTTCATCAATTCTTATAATCACGAGGCAATCGTCGCCTTGCGTTACTTGTCGGTACTCGGCAAGATGTAGCTCATGCTGACAATAATTACTTTCCTGAAAATCCTTAGAGTAAACTGCAATAATCTTGAAGCTTTTTTGTACGCTTTCCGCCATGGTTTCAAGAAAAATGCTGCCAGGATCAAAGTCTCTGTAGTGAATGCAGCACTTGAAATGATGCTGTTCCTCGAGGGGACGAAGGAGCTTCTTTTTTACCCATTCGGAATCTTTTGAGCTGAATATTATTAATGCGTGATAATCGAAGCCTAGAGGAGGATAAAAAGATCACAAATGTTTATTGGGTATTTCAGCCAGCTTGATATCAGGTGAATCAAGTTTGCAACTGCTTCAAATATGTTATAATCAATCAAATATTTTAGCTCGCAGATGATTGGTCTAAACGCGTCCATGTGACTGAATATGCCCCATCTAAGAATAGGGAGTATCTTAGTGAAACGCAATAGCCTCCATTTGACTTTAAAAATATGCTCGGACACTATGTCCTTGGACATAATCTGTTCCTTGATGAACACTGTTCGCTTATAGGGGCCCCTTTTCTCGAAAGTTCCAGCAACTGTGTACGCCGGCGCCCGAAGCCATGTTTTAAAAATAGTAGTGTGGGTTTTGGCTCCATTCTGTTTCGTTTCCTGACATATTTATCGTTTGAATTTCAGAACAATTAATCTCTCGATCTTGAATGTAAACAGGGCAAACAAGAAACAGCTTTTCGGGACTTTCGAGAAAGGGGTCCCTGATAACGTTCGCGGACAAATATCGGAACACATTTTCGGATCAAATAGAGGCTATTGTTTAAATATCTAAATACAGACCTGAAGGCACAGGGAAGCGTCCCCTAGATCGCCGTATGTACAGGAACATACATTTCAGGAAACCAAGGACGAGAAGCAGTCCTACCAGGATCCCAGACACAGTCGCAATGAACACATACTTGATGGTGTGGTCGGGACCTGGAGGAAAGGAGGGTGTTTTGCATGGAAAACAGAGTAGTGGCATTGCGATGCAATCTCGTTCATAACATGCGGTGCTTAGAACGTATAATCATATTATTGGGAATTACTCTGAAAAAGGAAACATCGTTTATAATGGAAAACTTCTTTCGCTTTTTTCTATCGATCGAGTTATGTTACCACTATACCACTAGCAATTTACATGAGACGCAGTGAGTCAGTGCTTCCATAGATGGTTCAAGGGCCCCTAAACGTCCACGAACGTTCCAAAACCTCGATAGAAACACAGAGAAAATGTCCTATTTCTTTCAGAGAACATCCCGAGAAACCTGGAGAAGGTAAAATCACTCTTTACTTTGATTATCAAAATGTAAACTCTCCCTTGATTATTATGCCAACATAATTTTTCATGGAGTTCTAGTAACACGGCTTATAATTCGAACAATCTCATAGTGTTTTTCCAATAAAAATTACTTTCAGGTGAGTAATACATCACGAAACTTTGACATTTTTAGATAGTCAGTATACTCACTTGACGTCTTATTCGTGGCTGTGTAGTCACCTACGTCAGCAATATAAAATTGACAAGCAATTAGTTTCATTAAAGCGGTTTCAAGGAAGTTTTATTGAACATTCAATCGGCTATTTAGCAAATGCCACATAATGATAACATTATGGATTATGTCCACTTACTTGTACCAAAGGACGTAGTTGATGGACCTGGGGATGAAGAGCTGGAATCTAAGCCGCCGCTTTCAGAGGCTGAAAAGAAAAACGAAAAAATTGTAATTAGCCTTGAAACGTTTGAAATTCGTCTTTCGCAGATCGTACCTCTACCAGAAAACACTGAACACTTTTGGTCAACTTGCTGACACACTTTGAACACATACAACCACGAGAATTAAAATAGTTTTATTCAATGCGACTCTGCTACCCGTCTAAGTCCATATCTTTTATAATTACATGTACATGCGATGTATTACTTCTCATAAAAGAGAGTAGATGATTGTTTCTTGAGGGCCACATTGTCGTCCATAAAATGTCTGGCAACATCTAAAACAGTATCGACACATATTTTTTGACCCATTGGTATATTGGGATTGGCACTGGTTGATCGAACGTAGCTGAACACCAGTTAATGTCTTCCCAACAGAACAAATTTCGATATAACAGAGATAATGACAATTTAACAGTACAGCCTTAAAAACTTTCAAAGATGATCACTTAGTGCTAATCTCACCTGTGGTTTGACTTAAGGTGGATGAAGTTGGTATGGCTGTGTGGATGAGAACAGGTAAATCTAGTCAGGACACAATAACGCAACAGAGCACGATGTCTAAAACCGCATCGACACATTTTTTGGACCAATTAGTATATTGGGATTGGCACTGGTTGATCGAACGTAGCTGAATACCAGTTAAGGTCTTCCCAACAGAACAAATTTCATTATACCAGAGATAAAAACAATTTAACAGTACAGCCTTTAAAGTAGTGCTTATCTCACCTGTAGTTTGACTTAAGGTGGATGAGGTTGGTTTGCCTGTGTGGATGAGAACAGGGCAATTTAATCAGGACACAATAACGCAACAGAACACGACGTATGTTTGATTTAAGTCAATGCTGAATATTAATCTCACCTGTTGTGCTAGTCAAGGTGGATGAGGTTGGTTTCCCTGTGTGCATGAGAACAGGACAATTTAATCAGGACACAACAACGTGACAGAAGATGATATACATGTAATTCATTGTTTAGATCATCAATGATTGGCAAATTCGCGGGGGTTCAAACTGAGCGAATCAGTGGTCAAATTGTACCACAATTAAAGCAGTGATGAACTGAGAAAATCAAATACTCAGCACTATCAAAGCCTAGCATGTACTATTTAGACAGTGCTCAGTTCGAACTCGTAATGTTGCTGGAAGGAGGGAAGGAGGGAGGGAGGGAGGGAGGGGAAGGAGGGAGGGAGAGAAAGGAAGGAGGGAGGGA